ACCCTGGAATCCGAAGAAGAAGTTTGAGGTTACAGCAACCCTCGGTGAAGTCTACAGATGGCTTCAAAATATATAGCAGGATACCAGCTGAATTCAGGGTATCTGCGAACTAGTCTTTCGCTCTCAGCGGAGATAAGAAAAAGTCACCTGGAAGATGTGGCAGGAAAGGGAACGGGCGAGAAGTGCGGGATCCGGACCAAACAGTATTTCTTCCAAATTTGATTTCAGTTCTTGATTTATGTTTTTGATTTTAGTTTTGCTGTTAATTTCTACAATTTCAGTAGAAGTTCATGCGGTTGGAATGAGTTGGGCCTGTACGCAGTGATCCTTGCCGGCTCCACCGGTCCTTGACCCAATGTGGAAAAGATAGCGTTAGCTTAGGACCAAATGTAATAAAAAAAAAAAAACCCCCCTTCATCAATTCGAGAAATTCATTTTTTCCTTCTTTCCTCCCTTCTCGACCTCGTCGCATCTATCTCTGAATTGTGATCGAACTCAGGCATTTTCACCATGCCTCCAGTTCGCAAAAAGCGCCCCAACGTCAAGTTGGACAACACGAGAGTCCACCCGAGGGCTCTCCAACAATTACCTGGCCTTGCCTAGTCTCCGAAATGCGCGGAGATGAGCAACGTCTCTACCAAAGGGAAGGAAAAAGCCCTCCCCACCGTCACTGAGCCCGATACTGACATGATCGGGTCAGTCGAAATTATTGAGGAAATTCCTCAACCATCCTCCGTCCCCCACGGGATTGGAGAATCGTCAAAATCTCCCCCGACCGCGCCAAAACTGTCGGAGAACGCTGCACCCAAAGCAGCGTCAAAATCAACGTCGCAGCCCAAAGCTGCCACGAAAGCAGATTGCCCTCCGGAACTTCGACCCATTATCGAAGCCGAGCAACGACGTGCCGCCGAAACAGCGGCAAATCTGGCCCTCTGCTCCGCCGCCATCTCTGGCGTCGAAGTCACCCTTCTTCCTTTGACCAACGGGTCAAACAGACAATTTGTAGACTCGATGAGAGTCTACCTACGCGCAGCCATCGCGCAATACATGGCCACGGGCCCGGCCTCCACGCCACCCGTCCTCCCTCCTCGCCCGGCGAACCCGATCCCAAGGGCTCCCGACGTCAGGAGCACAACGATTTCCGCCGTCCCAGCGCTGTCTATAAAAAGCACCTGGGCCACGGTGGCCAGAAATGGACTGCAACAAAAAGCAGTCCCAACTGTAAAGGCTGTTCCGCGACCTGCGGCAAAAGCCCAAAATAAAGAAGCTCCGAAGGCTAAAGTCGACAAACGACTGTTCCTTCGCTTAGAGAGCGATCACCCATGGCGCCAGCTTTCGCCTGACGGCATACGGCATCAATTATGTTGTAGGCTACTGTACACCTTGAGTGAAAAAAGCTCTATACACCGTGTCAGAACCGGATTTGCGATTCTGACAGCGGATGAAAATGAAAGGGAAGAGCTCTTAGATGCCTCACCGAAGTTGTCGGACTTCAATGCCAAAATCGAGGAAGCCTCCAACCTTGTCGCCTTTCGGATCGCGAATGTTCCAGCGACTATAAAATTAATTAACCGTATTGAGACGGTCGATGCCGGTAGGATCTCACTGGAGATTTACCGCAAAACACAACGACGTCCATGCCAGGTGCGACCGCAAGGGACATGTCGTCCTGGAGCGCCATATAGAAACTGGTATGCCCTTTTCAACCGGGACTCCGCCCCTCGTGCGGGCTTCCGAATTCTCGACGAGTCCGGAGCGGCTACAAAGATCCAGCCTCGTCGCCAAATTGAACAGTGCAAACGCTGTTTGGGCTTCCACGCCACCCGTGGTTGCTCCCGCGCCCCAGCGTGCTGGAACTGCGGATCAAACATGCACTCGGAAGCCGAGTGCAAGGCCTTCACAAAGTGTCGCAACTGTGGGGGACCCCACCGATCGGATTCTCGGGACTGCAAAGTCAGACCCAGAAAGTCTGGACCGGTGACCAAAGAGCAGCTCGCGTGGATCCGCCACATCAAACAAGGGGAGTTCGCGAAGATGGCACGAGCACGAGCAACAGCAAAGAAGGCCGAAGAGGCAATCACCACCGCTGCAAAGGACGTCTCGATGGCCGAGGCTACAGGTTTCGGAGTTCTGGAATTTGAAGAAGAAGTTTGAGGACACAGCAACCTCGACGATGTCCCTTTTGGGGCATATACTAACCAATAGCAGGATACCGGCTGGATAAAAAGTGCCTGCTATCTCATCTCTTGCTCTCAGCGGAGATTGAGTAAATTTGTCATTTGGAAGATGTGGCAGGAAAGGGAACGGGCGAGAAGCGCGGGATCTGGACCACTTGAAAAATCTTGTAAATTTGATTTCAGTCTTTGGCTTTTAGTTTTGATTTTAGTTTTTGATTACAGTTTCTGAGTTATAATTTACCTGCTACTTTTTCTGTAGCGGGTCACGCGGTTGGAATGAGTTGGGCCTGTAAGCAGTGATCCCCGCCGGCTCCACCAGTCTTGTACCGATAGTGGACCTAGAGCCTTAGCTTAGGACTTTAATATAATAAAAAAAAAAAAAAAAAACGGGGGTTCGCTGGACGGTTGGACTTGACATGATTCAACACATGGGTGAAGTCTGAGGTGGGACGAAGTTTATCTGTACTTCACTGTAGTTAACCTGATCCAGCCCGGCCCCACCCGTGCTCAAGCTCCAGTAGGAGTGCAACGGGAATCACTATACCTAGCACGTAAATGAACAAAATAAAACACACCAAGCCTGACCTTTCAGATACCCGCTGTATAAACGCCGTTGCGCAAATTCCTCCTGAGCCTCGGCCACCACGCGCCCGAGCCCTTGACATCCTCATTGACTCCAAAATATAATTGCCGTCCAAGATCTCATCTTTGCTCTAGCCTTGTACCTTCATATTGTGCTGTTGGGTTGTTGTCGTCATTGGGGATTTGTGTAATCCTCCCGGTATATATTCCCTTTTCTTCCTCCTACGTACAGGTCCTGTTTCCATCGTGACATTCCTCACTAGAGCGTGTGTAGGTAGGTGATATGACGAATAGAAAGATGGGTCGCAGGTGTTAAATCGACTGAGAAATGCTTCGTCGCAAATATATTAGTAGTTTGAGAGATGTCGGATGTTTGAATACGACCTCCAGACAGACCAAGCCCATTCGTGAATCGTATGTTGGTGGTAATGAGTTTTTGTTCAACTTCGCTCCGGCTGTGAAATCTCTGTCGATTGATTTCTCGACCAGAATATCGAGTGCGACTCGTTCAAGCCGAAAATCCATCAAATAAAATCCATCCCACCCTTTTTCGTGACTGAATCTCCGCTTTGGCAGAATATTTCACTCCCAAGATCGTAGAGCTTGTACTTTAGCTCATGGCTTTAAATATTCAACAGCGCACAGACTAGGATTGATTTCATTAAGTTGAAGATCCTTGTCCAACCTGAATGGCCACACAACCTAGAAATTTACTCATGTATTATATCATGCTAAGCCCAAATAGTCTGAAGATCCTATATTTAGGCAATAAAGTGCAGATTCCTCCACCATAGCGGTCAAAAATTGCCATAGACAGTCACAGCTACTTGATAATTAATTACTTCTCTCCCTGAATACTCAGCATCTGATCGTCGCCTACAAGACTTACTTTTTTCATGGGAGGAGGCTAATAAATTTATCAAATAGGGTCCTCTCTGTTTTGCTTCTCTTTCTTCCTACATTTTACCATGTCATTCATCCTTCCTCCAATCTCTCCATCTTAGAAGCTTAGAAAATTATCGAGCTGTCCATTCTTGGTTTGACTGTGACTAAACTCAAATCGCGGAGGCACAATACACATTTGAGAGGTTAAGATCGATTTATGGATGATCCGGGATCTTGTGGAAACTTTGATCGATATGCCAACGAGATGTCGTATTTATTTAGTCAGAATCAAAACTTCGCAGGTCCAGTATTGGCGCCCTCTGCCGGGGTAAAGACTCATAAGGACGGTTCTTCGACCGTACCCTCATATCGTGCAGTGATAATAGAGAGTTGAAGGTCTTTTCAACCTGGTATTGTGATTAACATTTTTGGACTTAGAAAGATTCAGTGAATGGCGAGATAATTGTGAGGAGGGTGGCTAGAAGAGCAAAACCGGGAAAAATCTACTGGGAAAACTTCTGTCGACCAGGAATGTTAGTTGTGATTAAAACGAAATCCAGATAGGTTTGAGCCTGTCTGCATTTCGTGATCAAGGAGCACAAGAATGAGTTCGAGGAATATTTGCAGTAGTCAGATCTCTGCTAGTTGAGTTTTCTTACGAGAGCTAGCCAATGCTATTCGTTCCGATCGCTATCCCAACAAAATCTCATAGATCTTCCATTTATCGTGACCATATTTCAGCCTTGATCGTTAGTTACTCCCAGAACCTTAGAGTAAACACGAATAGCTGCTTATGCTTTATCTTACAGCAAGGGGCTTGAGGAGACAAACTTGCGAATCCCATTGTTATGGGAAGAATAATTTAGTTTCATACTCCTACAGAGATATTACCCCTCTAACTATTCGGCCCATCGCCCAGTAATTTATGTACCTCAGATTACCTAGTTTAGGTCTCTTGATATATTTTATTCGTTTTCAAGTTGCATTCTTAAATATTTAATTCTAAGCAGACTGAGGATAAGTTTTGGTCAAAGTTTACGGCTCTATAAATAACGATGCTGTAACTAGATTTGTAACATCGACAATAATTGTGCAGCTGATTGTTTGTAAACATTAATGGGCGTTGCATTGCTGGTGACGCCCAGGTGTTGTTTCGGATATTAGATTATCTGTGGTGCGCAGCGAGGATAAGTATGATTCATATGAAATACAGATTGACCACTCATTACGGGCTCGCCTTCTTAAGATGTTGAGCGATTTTGACACATGGTAGGGTTCAGCGGCTAAATTTTGAGTGGAACCAGCACAAATTGTTATACTTAACCTGTTTGCCAATTCAAGCCCAAACCGCATCAGATGGCTTCAAATATTCTTCGAGAATGGACGGAGGCTAGTTTACCGCTAGTAGATAGTACAATAAAAGACGATATATCTAGAAATAAGACTGAAGAGAAAACTCCGACTACTTTGGCAGAAGGTCTAGGTCCCGTATTCTACAGAGATACAATGCTGACTCAAGCGTTAACAGATATACAGCAAGATAAACTGCAAATTGGGGCTCTTCTCCACGACATTTCCTCTCATATAAACAATGATGATTACACACAAGTTTCCAGAGGCGAGAACTGCACTTTAATGTGAAAGCGCACTAGTACTTACACTGATTAGCTCTAGTACTCCTGCAAGAAAGCCTCCCGGGACATTCAAAGATTACAAGACAGGATTGTGAGTAAAATAGAGTTCTCAGATACAAAATATCTAATCAATATATTTAGTACATCTCTTGATCAATTACTTTGTCACAAGGCTTAAGAATGAAGAACATCAACACTTAAACGACGCTGGAATCGATGAGATAATTCTTCTCTTCCTGAATTTTGCACAACATGGAGACCTTGAACCAGGAGATGCACCTCTAGTCCTAACTGGTTTATTCAGTTTAGCTGACAACCGAACCCGTCTGAAGGAACTACCTGGTCCGATTAGACAAAATGTGTACACTGTCGTAGACAACTTCTGCCGGGAATACCCACAGAAAATCACAGAGGAACTTGGCTACGATAAAATCATAGCAGGATTATTAAATCTGGTCATTTTTGAAAAAAAAGCCTCTTGCTTGCTTATCATATTTCAATTGATCTCATATGTCAGTCGAAACTGGAAACTTTCCAGCGCTAACATGGAAGACTTGTTCAATTCCTTTGTCCGATACTTCCCTATTAAAGTTGGTGGCGCACAGGATGAAGCAACACGTTTGAGCATAGAGATGAGAAGGTGTCTCTCTGACTGTATGACATCGAATGATTTTTATGCGTCACTCGTATTTCCTCATCTAATACAAAGACTTGATGATCGCTCCTCAATATCGGCGTCCAGTATGGTAATTTTTCTTTCAAGTGATTTTGAATGTTGCTAACCCAAAAAGCATGAAGTATTAGCCGCTATCGAAGAATGCTTAACAAAGTATACAGTTCCAACAATCACGGTCTGGGCTTCAAAGATTTGGGATGCAATAAAATTTGAGATTTGGAATGGAGAAAATGAAGACAACATCAAAAAATCATTGGAAATTCTTCGTTCTATAGCAGTATCGCTAGAAAGCGGACATTCCTCTTCGCCTGAAGAAGACAGCTATCTAGTACAATACGTCACAAAAATTGCGACCGAAAGTCGAGAGCGTATTGTTGATTCTCCAAAAGATTATCTACCCTCAACAGGAAGAATACTTTATGTCATCGCTTCTACTAGTAACCACACATTTCAATTGGTCTCGGCAGCAGTGATACCATGTCTTCTAGAACTCTGGCAACGTATAACTCTTGCTTCCGAAAAGAAAATGCTTTTAAATATAATCAATAATATCCTCAAGGCTCGAATTGAACTCCTTGACATGGGAAATAAACCTAATAGGACTGGAATAATGAAGTCGTTTACTATGTTCCAGGAGGAGCTCGTTGAGATATTTTCTAATGCTATTTTTGAAATAAAGCGTATCGTACCAGCAGCCTCTGGGACGAATAGCAATTTTGGAAATAACGTGCTCTGCTATTTACCAGCATTAGATGGCCTTACTATGCTTTTCAAAGCTCCTTCGTACTTATCAAGCGTTGAACAAGGAATGATAGTACAAGAATTAATACAGATTACGACTGTAATCTTTCCGAGAAAAGGCACAGTACATGATGAAGCTCTGAAAGCTATACAAAAAATATCTTCATACCAACCAACAGTATTTGCAAATATGATAATCCCAACCCTTATGGATAAAATTCCAGAATTTCTGCCAACAGACGCAAGGACTCAGACAAAAGGTGTACAGTTAGTAGCCTCTTTTTTGAATGACATAGCCGATATTTCATGTCTTCCATGCCTTCAAGAGCTTGAAACTGGTTTTCCTGAGGGTTCTTACAGTCATTATTGGCACAGAAACTTCGATTTATTTGCAAAGAAATTACTGAATAAGCTGGATGCTGTACTTTCGACCAAAGGTCAGAACTACTTTGCAACGATCATAATTGCTGCGATATTAAAAGGTTTGAGACTCTTTGATTGCTCGTTAGGGCCCACTCAACTTGAAGCAGTGAGCCCAGATCCACATATACTACCGTACGAGTTTATATGGAATCACCTACTCGAAGAATCTCTTCCCTTAGACTGTCTTTCTCTCTGTGGAGTCGATTCCCAAGATTGGTTGTGTCAAAAGGCTTCAACAAAGAGAACCCAAAATCATGAAAACTTTTTGCATCTGGTAGGATGTATATTTTTGTTAATATCACGATCAAAGTTAAATACCCCTGAAAATAATATAGTGTATAAATTTAACAAGACGTCTACTATTTTGGGCTTCGTTGAAGAATTTCAATCTCCAACCTTGTACTCTGAATCTCAACCTCTTACTGGCCCGGAGTCCTCTCACCAGGTTATGATTAACATGGCATTAATTTATTCCTTCATAGGAATTCGTCCGGACCCTGATGATGATATGTATCTAACAAATACTAAGAGTAGACTTGGTATTAGCAATAAAGTTGGACATATGGCTGCCAGTGCAATCTATAGAATCGCCAAAATTGAAAGTGCGGCTAGCTCTTGTATCCGCATTGCAATGTTATACTACGCTCAAATACTTATTGCTAAATTTCACTGCTCGAGGGATAAATTACCGGATGGGAAAACAGTACTTGATGTCATCAAATTACTCGTCAGCACATCACAAAATGAATCTTTGACATACACAATGCGTGTGTATCAAATTATTGTGTACTTGGCTGCGGCATCTTTTGCCTGCTATGATCGACAAACAATGGAACCATTATTCGATATCCTATGTAAAGGGTTGAGTCCCAGTCACAACAATCCACAAGTTTGCGCCTTGGTCGCTAAATCTTTTCGCATGATACTAGCGGACTCATTTATCCTTAATGAAAACAATTATATCAAAATTCGACCACTACGAAAAGGGCTCCTTCTAGAACTTATCAAGCCTCTGATAATTCAGCACCATATAGACTCTCAGCTCATGCCACAAAGTCCATCACATCATAATAGAATTCAGGAACATTATCTTGTCGCCATTATTGGCATACTAGGACACATTGAACATCAATTGATCCTTGATAATTTTGAAATCAATGACTTAATTTCCCTTGTGCTAGATGGAACCAATGTTCCCAATGATGACTGGGCTAAGGCTGAATACATTAAACTAATGCATATGCTAGTCCTTAACCGCCCAGAAATTATGCAGCTACATATTGATAGTGTAATAGAACGTATGATAGAGCGAACACATAACACACTTGAGGCACCAAGTGATGGAAATGTCGAGTGTCGGATTCTAGCATTGAAAGTCTTACATGCGCTAATTGAAAAATTTGGCCAATCTCTCTTACTACAGAGGCGCACCCACTTAATAGCTGAGTTGGCAGTAGCAAAAGATGATTGTCATGCTGATGTGCGATACCTTGCATCGCAGTGCTCCTTGGCTTGGATATATGCAAAGTCGTAAGAGCTAGTAATCTTTAACTCTGAGCTCTATAATATATAGCTAGCCTTTTTGTAATTAAGGTGGCAACATGAGACCGGAATCTCAAATATAGGTTGTAGTCTCGTCAACATGCGAGAGTAATAGTCTGCTTCAAAGTACAAAAAATGTTCTCACCTTAGGAATGGTTATAATGAATAGACTTCATGTCATGGGCTGCGCTCGAAAATATGTAGCTAGTTCGTGAGAGCTCATTTATGGCTTACCTGGGGGTTTGGCAAGACTATAAGTTGCTGGGGATTGAGGCTCACAGCGAAGGGCCACAACATCTGGAAGGAAATTTCTAAGACATGAATAACGGTAGTCTCTAATACTCTCTTGCCACACAAAACCCATCCGCTAAATTTTTTTGAGTCTTTCTGATAGTAAGATGATGTTTTACTGGCTAATTAGCTCCAGCATTACGTCGGGATATGTAGGCCCCCCTGCACACTAAGTGGAAGAATCTATGTTTCATTTAATAAACTTCATCACGTGCCGTATTAAGTTCTTCACAACGGTTGCACCCTTAGACATCTCCATCTCTGAACATGTGTGTGTATTTATTGTACTAGTTAAGTCATAGACTACCTAGTAAATTGGACTCCTTTCTGACCCAGGCCATAGCTTGTACAGTGCTCCTTACCTCTCATGTTTCTTGAAAGATCATTGATATATTGCCCTTTATGAATAGCCATTCAGCTCAGTATTTACCCATGGAATTCAGCCAACTTTTCGACGGGACCTTTTATCCAAAAAACCAAAAACCAAAAAAAATTAGCAACGGAAACTGCGTGCGCGGGAAGTCTCAAAAAACCTGCAGCCCCAGCCAGGCGAGGCCTAGACACTAGGACCACATGAGGTGCGTATATCCTACTACATTTCCCTTCTTTGTAACGTTCGAGGCCATCTTGATCCAATCCACCATCTCCGTATCGAGTGCTGGGTACGCTCCGGAAACTCATCGGATGGCATCTCCTTCATGATCAAGGTCGGTGATGAGAAGGGCTCCGACTCCACTACCTGATCTGATCGTGGTTAGCTTCATGATAATGGTGATAGGGAGTTTGTGCTCAGGGATTAATATGATACAGACGGCGAAATCAATTGGGAATCCTCATCTAATTGAGGACTTTGTTACTTAATCTCGAGTCTGTAGATTCTACAATAAGAGCTGGAGGTTTACAGGGGATACCGCTGACGGGTGGCAAGTTTTTGACTAAGAGCCAACGCTGATCCTATCGATTACTATTCTGAAAACCATCAAATCCATCTTTTGTCATGGCTGAATCTCGATTTTGACAGAAAATTACGCCTCCTTATCTGCAAAATAATGATCCCCCGTTGTGCCCATGATCGTCTAATCCTGTAAAAATATACAACCATGTTAGTGTCTCACGTAGCATTTCCTTCGAGCTTTAAATTTTACCTTAACAATTATAAATATATATATATATATATATTTATACAAATTTATATGTGGAAAGAGGCACTGGCCTGCTGGCCCAATGGCAAGGCGCTTGACTACGAATCAAGAGATTGCAGGTTCGATCCCTGCGTAGGTCATGTTTTCTAGCATATATTCCCACTAAGTATGTTGTCTGAAAAAATATTTTGTAATGGTTATTAGTCACGGTCAGCTCACATGCAGTTGGTACCTCTTTTTCGGAGTAAGATTTTGATTGCATGTGCAGTTATCTAGCTATGACACAGTATCAAAAAATGAACAGAAAAGGTGACTCAATTTACAATAGGAGCACTCATGCCTCGGATTTTATTTGCGAGTACCACTGCGAAGTTATGATGGCTTATTCTTCACCCCAAGTCAACCCTCATCCGTGAATACCCACCCTGGGGAACGTCTCAAAAACCCTGGGTTATCAAGACATGCCTCCATCATCTTTCTACTTTTCTCCGCGCGAAATATGGTTTTAGGCGTCTCCTTCCCAAGTGGAGTAGGTGCCCAGGCTACTCAAACTATACCGGAGAACACCACCAGGAGGCGGATCACATCACCTTCCACCGTTTGCTTGTTTTTACAGTGTCAGCTGTAATCTCGCAAGCGAATTCTTGGCGCGCACAAAGCCCATTTCGAAAAACTCCTTGCCAAAACTCATAATCTCACGCCCGTCGAGATTGTATCCATATTCCACGTCATCTTGTAAACTTGTCTAAATCCCTCTCACGTCCATCTCAAAGAACTGTTGCAATGGAAGTAACAGTCAGCGCGAGTGAATATAGGATAGCGCTTTAAGTATAAAATGAAGTAGACGTATATGTATAGTAGATCTGCTATATTGAAGACTATTGAAATAAGTGTGGAAAAGATTAATCATGTACAGAGGTCTAGCAGCGAGTATTTATACACAAAGACGGTACACAAAACATATCATCAATAGTAATAAATCCCAGCCATCCAGCAATTCAAAAATAATATCATTAGATATACCTGCGTCATATTATCATACTGTCATGTATGGCAGAGATACTGGTGTTGTTATTGCTATGTAACGATGACGTACCATTGACATAGGGTCGCCTGTCCTGTCGGTTACACTCGCTTAATACTAGCCATTTCAAGTTGTATGATCTATAGATGGGCCTGATCAACACAGTATTTATTGGCCAGCTTAGGCCAGATTGAGGTGTCTTTATTGCACTACTTGAGTCTTGGACTATCTGCCACATTGGGCTTCTCTCTGACACAGTCCGCACCTTGTACAGTGTTCTTAATCTCTTTTGTCGCTTTAAAGATCATCAATAAATTGGCCATGATGAATAGCCAATCTGCTCAGTATCTACCCGTGGAATTTAGTCACCTCTTCCACAGAACCTACTAACCAAAAAAAATCCCAAAAAAATAAAAGATAATAATGGAAACTGCGTGCGCGGTAAAAAGACTCCACATACCTGCAGCCCCCGCAGGCGAGGCCAAGACACCGGGACCACGTGATGTGCGCATATGAACTATATATATGTATAGTTCATTATCCTGATTTGGCGCCTTGAGGCTCATGCAGGTTTTTATCGGAAGATATGTACTTCAAGTAAGTTGACTCAATTTGACGATTAGAATACTTACACTCAGATTTAATTTGCAGATACCACTCGAGATTAACCCTCACGGCGTATAACCTCTTCCGTGCATACCCACCAAAGGGAAAAGCGTGAAAACCCTGTGGCTATCCAAGTGTGCTTTCATCATCCCACAAGTACAACATCACCGCGGGAGAGAGTGGTTTGTGGGTCTGACTGGATTCGAAACAGCTTTCTCCTGTCTCGAATGGAGTAGGTGTTCAAGCTACCCAGTATCTACTTGGGAGAATGGCCCGGATGGTGAACCACTGCACCATCCAACCCTGCATATTTACCTATATTTCCCTTCTTTGCAATATTCGCTGCCGACTTGATCCAATCCACCATCTCCGTATCGGGTGCAGGTTACACTCCGGAAACTCATCGGATGGCTTTTTGTTAGAAATTGTCAAGGATTTCTAGGAGGAAATATCTCGAAGAACAAGTGTACAATTTCGGACAAGATTTTATTGATAGTTGTATAGGATATCGAACTCTCTTCTCAATATGAATTAATAATATATTATACTCCGTTAACTTAATTTTATATATATAGATGAGTCTATCCTTAAATACAGATCCCCGAGGCTTTAGTGATCCCGAACTCCCAATGATCTAGCAACAATCAGCCTGCTGGAGTAGCATCTATAGCTTGGTTTACTTGGAGTTGGTGGTTCTTAATTTACATGCAAACGATTTCCTTCGTTGTGGATTTCGGCATTCGGATAATACTTTATCCGAACGCAACATAGTTAATATCTTGTAGCATCATTGTAAACTAGATAACAAATGAACCATTAATGCGCATTTCTTCTGAAAAATAGTTCGAAATACTTACACAAGTATTCTCATAACTTTAAGTGAACAAATAGACTTTTAGTGTATGACCTTTGTCATACCAACACAGCCACTCGATTATCGCAAGAGAGCATTTCCTAGCCACTGAACCTTATTTCGCTTAAATGAGCTTAATCAAAATCAGTCGAATCAACTCAATTGATCCTGATGATCATACCTAGAAATCTAAACCTTTATACATGCTAAGTCTAGATTTCCAACACTTCTCCTGAGCATCACGACCAACTGAGCCATTTCATTTGATTCTGAAGATTTGCTCATGATAATGATGATAGGGGGATGTGCTTGGGGATGAAGACGATACAGACGGCGCAAGCGATTGGGATTCCTCATCGAAGTGAGGACTTTGTTACTTAATCTCGACTCTGCAGACCCTACAGTAAGAGTTGGAGGTTTACAGGGGATTCCAGTGACAGGTGTTGAGAACAACCCCCCAGCTTAGGCCAGAGAATATTCCATGAGAAGTGTGATCATTGAAACGTGGATATACTAGGTCGTACTCGTAAACTTGACGAGATTTCTGTGGAGATCCATCTCGTTTGGTGGGAGAGTTTGATTTTGTAGAGAGTCTTGGATCATTGCCTCGTGGGTCAACTTCTTCGGAATTGTGAATTTGGCTGAACTTGGCTCTGGGAGAATATTTCACTCCCAGGTTTTTAGAGGAAACCGAGTACAGTTGTTCAGTCTTTATCCTCTATGGGTCTTCGTAGTTGGGCATTGCCGGCACAGAAAAACTCTTCACCTTCCAGTAGTGCCGGTGTAATCGCTCAGCATGCTCTGCATATCTGTGGTAGCCAAGAAGAATCGCATCCGAATCGAAGTCGAAAGCAAACACATCCATATCTCCATTTGACGACTTCTCAACCATGCAGCACTCATCATTATTTACTGAGTCCTCAACCCCGATCTAACCACACATCATCTCGCATCAACGATCGATAAAGGCGTCACTCCAACTGCAAAAAACAGCTTGCCTCATGTGTGGTGGCCCAGACTAACACGGCCAACGAAGAAAGGTGACTCAACGCCATTGACTACACACCTATGTAGTC